CTCACTACAGTAAATATTAATTTAATTAAATCAGATACCTATCTGGATAAATATTTGTGCTAGTATCTGCTACCACGTGCTCCTTCACATCCAAGTTTGTACTTTTAATACCCTGTCGTATATGTTTCAAAATTCGAGATGTACCGCATCGTATTATGTCGGTTCTAACATTCTGTATATCATTCCCGTCAATCGCAAATTGTTTTAAATTAGGCAGTAGGCCAATGTATTTTGGTATTCTATAAAACACAACAAATATTATTTCGAAAATATTTCATTAAAGTAAAATAATAATGTATACAAAGTAACATACAGAGTTAGTTTGTTGTGTGATAAATCAAAAATTTCTAGGTACACCAGTTTTATTATTTCTTCTGGTATTGTTTCAATTTGATTATTTCCTAATGTTAATGTTTTTAATTGTCCTACACCTTCTAAACAAGACATATCAATTTCCTATAAATTATGCAAAATAAACATTAAAAATCTATTATATATACATTTTCATTACATATAATGTTGTTATTAATATAAATTATTATAATATTTTATGAAAAATTAAACAATATATCTTTTTATAGATATATTAAATGCATTAAGAATTTTCTCTATGTATATAACTGAAATGCGTATGTAAACTATTTATTTCTCCATAAATAATCACTATATATGCTTAGATCAGCATATAATAGTACGTACAGTAATGTTATTATCAGCCAAGTGTAGTACTCTTAATAGTATACAACCAGATATATCAGGAAATGTTGTTAATTTGTTTGATTGCAACATCACTGTTTCTACCTTCCTTAATTCACCCAGAGGTGGCAACATTTCCAACTGATTATAACTTGCATTTAACTTTTGTAATGCTATTTTCAAAAAATATGTATGCTTTTTATTAAATTTTTGTCATACAGGAAGAAGCAGTGTGAAACTGTTTTTCTTCTAACTGATATTATACATTAAACATATGATAAAAAAAATTAAATTAAACAAATCATATAAATAGACACATTATTGTAAATCATACCTCTCATATTTGTTAAATCAGGTGGCAATTCCTTTAACATATTATGACTTAAATCCAAGGAAGTTAGTCTTACTAAATATCCCATTCCAATTGGTAACTCAATCAAGTTATTATATGATAAATCCTGAACATGTGCAACATTTCAGAAGATCAAGTATACAAGTTTGTCTTAAAAACATATAAATAAGTTATTATAATATACCAGATAGGTCAACATCACAAAGTCTCCAACTGCTGGATCGAGCTCCTTTATACTATTATTTTTTAAATTTAATTCACGTAATTCATTTAGCTTATAAAATTCATGTGGAAATTTTTCTAATTTATTATTTGATAAATTTAGTATGTTTAATTTTTTTAAATTTCCTATTTCAGCAGGCAAATCTTCCAACCGATTATTATGCAGCTGCAAAGATTAAAGTTTATTACATAGTGTTTTACATATATGCAATTTCTTCATATATAAAACTGTTATACTTACATATAATGTAGTTAACTCTGTTAAATTTTCTATTTGTGGATCAATTTTCTTTAAAGTATTACAACTTAAGTCCAATGTCTGGAGAGGTTCTTGTTCCCACCACCTTTCAGTTTCTTGTACATAATCAAGCTCAAAATGTAAATCCCTTATTTCTTCTTCAGTTAAATCATTTATATTCCATACTCTATTAGGTACTATAATAGATTTTGTTAGTTTTAACATAATTTAACTAATATGGATTTCAATTAAACATAAAATATGACACTTTTAAAAAAATAACTTACCTTGATACGCATATGATAATCTGATGATGATACTGTAAATATTGCTTGTTCTATTGCATTATTCACAATCTAACATGCAAAGCTATCTATGAATCGACATAAACAAATAGTTTCATGGCTACAATTGAAATTGAAAAGGTAATATATAATAACATTTATTTAATGATTCAGATTTCATGCTTTACATATATAAATGGGTGCAAAAATAAAAAAAAGGTCCAAAAATGTAATGAATAACTTTTATTGTTTATCAGTAACGAAATTAAAAAATGAATTGCAACTAAAAAGCATTAAGCTGATAAGTATACGTTTATCGCTAACGTAATACTTTCTTTATAATATATATATATTGAATAAAATGTATAATATTGTTGTAAGATAATGATATTTTGTATATGTAACAAATGTATAATTTATTTCCTATCACAATAAATAAAAAAACAATATATAAATGATAAATTATAGAAACTATAATGTAATACAGATGTGTGAACAAACATGCACATTATAGTATATGACTACTGCATCGAGATATCAAGCGTCTGAATGATATCGAATAACATTTATATATGTAATTTTTAAATAATATGGATACCCGTAAATAGTCCTCTCGATGAGAGGTTTAAATTTCCACTCTTTCTCGCGGATATAATAATAATTTCAGACAGTTCAGCATTATCGTCATTCTTCGTTCGTTTTTTAAACACTGCTAAATGATTAGCTTTTTTCTTTACGCCACTCATACTGAATCTATCACGTACATTGTTTACACATTGATATCCTCGGGATACGGGATGACTTAATCATGAATGTTCCCCCACTTTGTATGACAACGACATGTAAATCATATAATAATTATATATGCCGACAAAATAGCCAATATCGAATACAAGTTTATTTTGATTACTGAATTCGATCTTTTGTATCTATTATTTAGCTTATTTGATGTAACAAAGAGATTAGAGATAAATACAATCATTGTTTTAATTATTTCTTACTGTAGAAATTTAACTTCCTTATCTACTAAAATATAGATAACTATTTTAACATTGCATAAAAAACGAATAATCATTAATGACTGAAATAATGAGAGAAAATCTCCCTTCTGACACCTGTAATGAATTATAACAGAGCCATTGTAGTAAAGGAAATTTTTAAGTCACAGTACTAGAAGCATTTATAGGAATTTTAAGATAAAATGTTGCCACTAGGATGGTATTATTATCATATGGGGGCGGAATCGGCGGTTTCGATCCATTTGTGTGAGACTGTGGAAGCTAATGTGTAGTCGAAATAATTGTTAAAATTATTAAATAACAACAAATCAGTCTGTACTACTATTTAAGCAGTATAAAAATCTGAATTGCTTAAAGTGTGAAATCATCTTGAAACTATAATCTTAAAAGTATACGTGATGCAACGCTAAAAATTTTTTAAATTATTGTTTTTACCACCTCTGATAGTAGCATATTTATTTTTAAATATTTAATCATTTAGTAAAATATTAATTATTCATCAATATGAGTGCGAATTCATCGAATTTTATTATGTTAAAAAAGCATATCCTTTTATTTATATTTATGCTGAGTCAAGTTAACAGTGAACAAGGAGATCATATACATACTACTATGCAGTATACTAAAGATAATTTTTCAACAGAAATTCAGAAGAAAAATCATTTTATCATGTTTTATGCACCTTGGTATGCATCTTATTTTAAAAAGATCTTTTTCTATATATTTATAAATTCATTGGAATAATATTATTACTGATATCAGTGTTATATAGCCTTTACAATAAAGAATATTTACTTTTTTTAGGTGTGGTCACTGTCAAAGACTGGAACCTACATGGGAACAATTAGCTAAAATGTCAAACTTAGAGGATAAGAATATAAAAATTGCTAAAGTAGATTGTACTACAGATAACAGTTTATGCACAGAACATGATGTTACTGGTTATCCTACGTATGTGTGATATAGATATATTCCACAAAATATTTGTGACATTATATGATATATACGTATACAATTATAAAGAAATAAACTTTAGGGTTCTTAATATTACAGATTAAAATTTTTTAAAGCTGGAGAAGCCAAAGGTACTAAGTTCAGAGGTACAAGGGATTTGCCATCTTTAACATCTTTTCTTACTGCTCAGCTGGGTATATCCTTGGAAGTAATTATGAAAAACACTTATATTAGATTATAATATATGATAATACCCAATCTTAGTGTTCAATTGCTTTTTTTAAATTTTCTGATCTAGAGTGAAGATGAGGCACCAACACCTCCTGAACCAGTAAATGGTTTATTGGAATTAACGGAGGATACTTTCGATAAACATGTATCTACTGGCTATCATTTTGTAAAATTCTATGCACCTTGGTGTGGCCACTGCCAAAAATTAGCTCCTACCTGGGAAGAATTAGCTAATAGTTTACGTAATGATAATTATGTTAGTATTTCTAAAGTAGATTGTACACAACATCGTAGTGTTTGCGGACAATTTGATATAAAAGGATATCCAACCTTGCTTTGGATCGAAGATGGAAAAAAGGTAAAATTGAAGTATCGTTTTTATCCTTTTTTTTTTGCAGAAATTAAAATTTTTCTTTTCAAAAATTAATTTCAATAATATTTGGTATGTATGAATATATAGGTGGATAAATATGCTGGGCAACGCACTCATGAAGAGCTTAAAGTTTATGTATCAAAAATGCTTGAGAAAGGAAATGACCAAGCTAACACTAAGACTGAAAATTTAGATAGCACAACTCATACTGTACTCAGTTTAACTGGTGAGAGCTTTAAACATGGTATCGAAAACGGCATTTCATTCGTTAAGTTTTTCGCACCTTGGTGTGGGCATTGTAAACGTTTAGCGCCTATTTGGAAAGATCTTGGGAAAAAATTCTTAACAAACGACAATGTGAAAATAGCAAAAGTAGACTGTACTCTCGATGTAAGTAAAGAATTGTGCAATGAACAAGAAGTAGATGGTTTTCCGACTTTGTATTTATATCGCGACGGACTTAAAGTTTCTGAATACAATGGTGCTCGAAATTTAGACGATCTCACCGAATTTGTATTGAATTATATACAGCCGCATGACGAATTGTGATTATGCATATTTTTCTTGTAACTAATCTAATTTTAAAGCAATATCATTAATATCGTTTTTATCCTTTTTTTTTTGCAGAAATTAAAATTTTTCTTTTCAAAAATTAATTTCAATAATATTTGGTATGTATGAATATATAGGTGGATAAATATGCTGGGCAACGCACTCATGAAGAGCTTAAAGTTTATGTATCAAAAATGCTTGAGAAAGGAAATGACCAAGCTAACACTAAGACTGAAAATTTAGATAGCACAACTCATACTGTACTCAGTTTAACTGGTGAGAGCTTTAAACATGGTATCGAAAACGGCATTTCATTCGTTAAGTTTTTCGCACCTTGGTGTGGGCATTGTAAACGTTTAGCGCCTATTTGGAAAGATCTTGGGAAAAAATTCTTAACAAACGACAATGTGAAAATAGCAAAAGTAGACTGTACTCTCGATGTAAGTAAAGAATTGTGCAATGAACAAGAAGTAGATGGTTTTCCGACTTTGTATTTATATCGCGACGGACTTAAAGTTTCTGAATACAATGGTGCTCGAAATTTAGACGATCTCACCGAATTTGTATTGAATTATATACAGCCGCATGACGAATTGTGATTATGCATATTTTTCTTGTAACTAATCTAATTTTAAAGCAATATCATTAACTTAAACTGATTTTATATTTATATTTATATATATATATATATATATATATATATATATATATATATATATATATATATATATATATATATATATATATATATATATATATATATATATATATATATATATATATATATATATATATATATATATATATATATATATATATATATATATATATATATATATATATATATATATATATATATATATATATATATATATATATATATATATATATATATATATATATATATATATATATATATATATATATATATATATATATATATATATATATATATATATATATATATATATATATATATATATATATATATATATATATATATATATATATATATATATATATATATATATATATATATATATATATATATATATATATATATATATATATATATATATATATATATATATATATATATATATATATATATATATATATATATATATATATATATAAATATATATATATAAATATATATATATATATATATATATAACGTTTAATTTAATTATACATAAATGTAAGAAGCATCACATAAAAACCCCAAGGTAACCAGGCCATATATTTTTCATTTTTGTATAAAATATTAAAAGAAAAATATTACAGAACTATTATATTTTTGCGTGAACTAATCGTGTACTTCCAAAATATATTTATAAAATTACTCGTGTTTGCTGTGTTCCTATCAAGCCTGTTAAAAGCTTCAAAATATAAAGTTTATCATTAAATGGTTGAAGGATAAAATGAGCGTAACAACTGCCCACGTTGTTTATCTATGTACAGTGTTTTACGTTTTACGATTATTTCTCGTTCAAGATCACTTCTCGCTTTTACCAAACCTGCCTGCGTATCTTCGGCTCGTTTTAATTCCGCTAACATAGCTGATGTGCGTTCATTAAGTAATTTCACTTCTTCCACCAAACTAGATGAAGCATATTTTACGATAAATATGTTTTGTGCAAAGTTACAAGTAAATTAAATTTATATATCTTATAATGATTATTTAGTTATATTATATTATTAAGTATAATATATAATAGCTCATTGATAAGATACTTACGAGAATTGGGAAGTATCACGGCAACTTTCTACATTACGTCGTTGTAACCTGTTCGCTAATCTTGTTTGCGCTACTTTCATCACGCAATCCAATCCTCTTGTTGAATGACGAAGCTCTTCTATAGATTTTTCAGTATTTGCAAGTTCGTGTAAACACTAAAAGAATTCTTATCATTACGATACGGCAATTTTACGTAATGAATTTTGAACTTACGCGAAGTAGTTCTTTTTCTAATTGTAAACGAATATCCTCAGTAAGTTTAATCTTTTGACTTAAAACCAGATCTACGCGAGTCGCTTGATCTCGGAGACTTTTAATGGAATTCTTATATGTAGAATCTAAAGTAAGTCTTAAATTTACAGATCTCTGCTTGGCTGCTTCTGCATCAGTTAAACTTTCTCGTGTGTAATGTTCATAACTCGAAGGTGTCGATTGTCTAACGAGAAAGAATTAATAATTTATACAAATTTCAAAATCTAATCTAAATTAATGCTAATTGTAAATTAAAACGTTAATTCTGATACATACCCTGCTGGAAATCTTGTAGCTCCGAGTTTCCACAAGATAATGGGAGAATCATTTTTCAGTTGTATATTGCGGGAATCAATGTCATAAGCATCAGTTTTATCAGTCCAATCCATTTCCATTCTTACTTTTGCTGCCTTTAATTCGATTAATTGCATTTCTATATGTTCCCGAGTTCTACAAAGTAAATCGCGTATTTCTGAGCAAAGTGCTACCTCCTATAACAATTAATATGTATTTGCTACTATACGTATGTATATTATTACTACAATTTTTTTTTTCTTTATACATTTACTATGTTATTAACGATATTAACTTTGGTAAGCTCTTCCTCTACTTCATCTCTAATAAGGTCAGACTCTAGTCGTTTTGATCGTAATTGTAGGAATTCGCCAGCGATAGATTCTGGAACTGTAAGGAGTGACAAAGAATGCTTTACTCGTCGATGTTCAGCTTCCAATAATTCTATCTCTTTCGTGATTTCAAGTATTAAATGTTCTAATTCAGTTTTCCAACGACATACTTCGTTTGCACGATTTTTTAAATTATCTGTCGATTTCAACTGTATCTTATCTGCTTCTTTATACGATCTTTCGACACATCGTTTTGCATTATTTATAGCAAGTCTAAAATATCATGCTTTTTATTATTATTTGAGCTAATAATATATCACGTCAATGTACAGGTTTGTTTGCGTACTGTGCTTCTTGAATCTTTTCATCCGATTGTTTAAAAAATTTCTGATTATGAGCTCTCCATTGAGGTGCTCCAAAGCTAGTTACAGAATATCGATCAACAACTGGTCTAACTCCCGTTAAACCATCTTGAGGTGTAAAATTTACACGACCGGTTGCCCATGGACCAATCGCTTCCATTCGTTCTTCTGGTTGCGCCGGAAGCTCATCTCCTGGTTGAGGAAAATAAAGAGGCGGTCCGTCGCTTTTTTTAGTATAATCTATCCTTGGACAAGGCTATATAAGTTATTTTTTAGAAAAAATGCTCAGAAACTCATTTGAAACAAAATAGTAAAATCAATTACTTCTCTCGATTCATGTAGTAAATAATATAAAAGTTACATAAGTGGTTATCTTAAACTAAAATTTACCGTATCCTGGACTTCGTCCAATTTAGTCGAATCTTGTTCAGTATTCATGTTGAATGTTTTCCTAATAAATTACTACTAAATTTCTACAGCTCTCGAGATTGCATTAACACAAATTTCTGTTTTTATTACGAATGATTTTCGTAAGACAGTAACTATGCTGTCAATATATCCACAGAGAAGTAAACGAAATTTATTGATTTAATACTTCGTAGCAACGAGATATTTTCTTTGTCGAGTAATTAAATGACTTCGGTAATGATTTAGCAAAAGTTATTGAAAGATGATTGAAAATATCGTTTCTATATATAAATAGCGTTTCAATGAAATATAAAATGTTATAAACCACAAGAAGTATTCTTTTAAATACGTTGATTTATCAATTTAAATAATGAGATTATGTAGTTTTATACCTTATAGATTACCGAAAAATATTTATTATAAAAATGTAATCGCGTGCGTTTGAACATCAATATATATAGGTACATATATAGATATGTGTGTGTACATATTTATTTCAGATAAAAGTATGAGCAGATGTAACCTTATCTCAAATAACTATGCTATTTAACTAATTCTTGTGTCAAAAACCACAATTATAAATAATATATGTAGCAATATAAATATTTATTACATAAAAAACAATAGATAAACGTTTTAACAAAAATATGTAGCAATAAATCATGTCTATTGTAAAATATTGTTTTCGTTTATGATAAGTATTTTGTATCTTTAAATACATATGTATGCAGTTAATTGACTTCGAATAAAGTTAGGAGGTTCGTTCTCGTGATAATATTTGATAACAACAAGAAGCAGTATTTAATGCGCTGCTCCATATATGTTGAATTATTTATTGATAGTACGGTGACTACCGCTGAGTGCGTCTGACGAGATACATCTGCAGAAATGAATCGTAAAATGCCGGATATTAAATATACTCAGGTAAATTGTTTAGCTGTAGAAGATATAAAAATTAATTTTTATAAGAAGAAACATATAACCTTTAATCATATCTTATAAAAATTATACATACGTAGTCTATATCTTATATTCTGACAAATGATCATAGATGTTGACACCAGAATAGTAATAAGAACAATAATAATGAAACTTATATTAACATTAATATCACATATTTTCAGTTATTTATAAATAATGAATTTATGGATTCAGTGAGTCGTAAAAAGTTTCCTACTATAAATCCAGCTGACGGTACTGTTATTGCAGATATCTCTGAAGGTGATAAGGTATTATACTTTAATTTTGTAATCTTCATTATATTATGGAAAATTTTTTATATCAAATATTAGGTTATCTTAAATATTTACTTTCTTTAATATAGGCAGATGTAGATAAGGCAGTTGCAGCTGCAAGTCAAGCATTTAGTAGAGGATCAGATTGGCGAAATATGGATCCATCTGTTCGTGGAAAACTTATGAACAAAGTATATTATTTGTTTTATAATTGAATAATATTTTTAATAAGATTTATGTTAACATTTTTATATTTAATTATAATATTTGGATGTATATAGTTTGCAGATCTTATTACAAGAGATTTGGAATATATTGCCACTCTTGAAGTCTTGGATAATGGAAAAACATACTCAAATGCAGTTTCCGATATAGAAGCCAGCATAGATACAATTCGTTATTACGCTGGATGGTGTGATAAGATTTTTGGAGACACTATTCCAGTAGGTATGTTTAATATTTGTAAGTAAACGAGCAGTGTTTCATAAATGCTCATGTACAATATTTGTTATTTAGATGGAAATTTTGTTTCACTTACACGCAAGGAACCGATTGGTGTAGTAGGTCAAATTATCCCTTGGAATTATCCTTTTCTTATGTTGGCGTGGAAATGGGGTCCAGCATTGGCTACTGGGTGTACTATTGTTTTGAAGCCAGCTGAACAAACTTCTTTAAGTGCCCTTTATGCCGCAGCACTTGCTAAAGAGGCTGGATTTCCACCCGGTGTTATAAACGTTATTACCGGTTATGGTCCAACAGCTGGTGCAGCTATCGCCGAACATCCAGGAATTCAAAAAGTTGCATTCACTGGGTCTACAGAGGTATCTTGTATATATCGTTAATTATTATACTAATTCACAAAGCTATATTAACATTTGGTATATGATTTATAGGTTGGTCATCTGATAATGGCAGCTTCTGCTAAGAGTAATCTTAAACGTGTTTCTCTTGAACTAGGTGGCAAAAGTCCATTGGTTATTTTTGATGATGTTGACAGTATGTTGATAAAACACTTATTAAATTATTAGCATATAACAGTATAAGAGAATTAATAAGTATGTACATTAACTTCTAGTCGAAAAAGCAGCTGAAATTGCTTATAATGCGATATTTGCGAATCATGGACAAAACTGTTGTGCCGGTTCACGTACTTTCGTACATACTAAAATTTATGATCAATTTGTTGCCTGCGCTAAACAATTAGCGTTGAAAACAAAAGTCGGTGATCCTTTTGATGCTGAAACTCAACAGGGACCACAAGTTGATCGAGAAATGTTTGATAAGGTTTTAGGTTTAATTAAATCAGGAAAGGAAGAAGGAGCTGTATTAGAAGTTGGTGGAGAACGTCACGGCAATGTTGGTTATTTCATTAAGGTATAATTTTTTAAGTGAATGTTTTTTATATCATTTGTTTTTTTTTTTGTGTGACCATCTTAATGTTAATTTAAGCCTACCGTTTTTTCAAACGTGACTGACGATATGAGAATTGCAAAAGAAGAAATATTTGGACCTGTTCAATCTATTTTAAAATTTGAAACAATGGATGAAGTTATCGAACGTGCAAACAATACAAATTATGGCCTTGCAGCTGGTGTTCTTAGTAAAGATATTGATAAAGCTTTGACGTTTGCACAAGCAGTACAAGCTGGAAGCGTTTGGTAAAGATTTCATAGCAATTCTGTATTCGTTATATGTATGTTTGACAGAGCTTAATGGAACTTTACTTAAAAAAATTATCGTCGAATAGGGTAAATTGTTACGATGCTATCACGCCTCAAACTCCCTTTGGAGGATTCAAACAGTCGGGAATAGGTCGTGAGCTGTAAGTTTGTCAGCATTTAATCAAATGACTTTGAAACAAAATATACATTGTTACCTTTATATTTTAGTGGCGCAGAAGGGTTAAAAGAGTATCTTGAGACTAAGACAATATCTATTAAAGTGCCAACACGTAATTAAAAATATTATGTATGTATTTTATTACGTATCGTTAAAGTTTATATAAATCTATATTTTAATAAAATTATTGCATATATTTTCAAAATCCATTTACAAATGTACGTAAACGTATATAGGAATTATCAATGAACTAATCGTTAATAAAATAACAATGAATAAAGAATCAAACTTTTAACCACATGATTCAAACGATATCTTTATTAAAAACATAAATAATATATTTAATATATTATTATATATGAGTTCTAACATGGTAGTAATCTAATATTTAAATACATCAAAATCATTGACACATATACGCCAAAGTTTCAATATCTTTTATACAGAAAAAATCTGTTTGACTATCTAATCATCTGGTGGAATTCCCAATTCTTCGTCAGACCACTCTATTGGACGTATTTCAGGGAAGTGACCCTAAATGTACAAGAATATAAATCGAATATTTAACATAAAGTACAAAATATGTGTGTGTGCATTATATAGTATAAAATGCAATAAAATATATCAAATACAGAAAATTATTCATTTAAGTATCTTGTATTTTAAAAAATACTAATTATTGCAAAATAGCTTTTCAAATAAAGTATGCTGACGATAATCATATCACTTACAGTAATATGCTCATAATCGTGCCACGCGTTCCAGAAGATCCACCACCATACCATTCCGCCAACGCATTCAGCTATTATTTTCCAATTTCTTTTAGGTTCGGTCACTGTACGATAGGCCCAACTAAAAATATTTGATAATTTAAATCAATTACTTCTTTGAGACAATGAATTCACGATGAGTTCTTAGATGTGCTTGAGATAGGATACATTATACATATTTATTACATATAAATTATATGTATGACATATTATTATGTGTGTGTATGTGTATGTGAATAATTCCTATATTTCTGAATATATTATAAATATTAAAAATTTTACGGTAAATACAAGAGTACACAAATCTAACCTCATTTCAAATAGAGGTTATGTAATATATTTACCATTTACGAATCTGTTGTAAATTCACTCCAGTCTGTTTTCTTCCATTTAATTCATATATGTTTCTCAAAATTGATGGACCACGCGACAGCAACATTTTCCAGCTGTTATAATTTCAATCAATGATCTTGATTCCCGTTCACGGTAAGACCATCCCTACTGAGGATGCTAAGATACTGATACAACCATGTAAAATTAAATAGTATTTCTACCATATACATATGTATATATGCATACTCACCTACTACATATAAATTGCTCCTTTGCAAAATTGTACAAAACGGTATTTTTATACTTTTTGCATAAAAATGTATCAATTCTGTAATTAATCAATTAACTGCGTATACACATTAACCGTACCGAACTAAAGTTTCAGATTGACACACGTCGAACGCAGTTAGCTGGTTAAAGGGTTTTAATTTGTTAAAATATTTAGATTTACTATATAACATCCAGACTGCAATATTTTAGGTCTGAGTTTCTCTTTTCGAACAATTTCGAAGATTTTTCGCGGAAATGAACGATTTTTAAAATTCGTCCTTATAAACAAGGTTTTAACTTCAGGAATCTGCGTTACCGGCCGCCTCACAGTGACCGGAAATTAAAAAATGACCCAAATCTAAACCAATACTCACGATTCGAATCCATGCAGAGTATAAACCATACGGTAAGTTAAGATTATCAAATTTAAAAAAGTGCTCGTCAAAATTCGCGAGGACGTCACACAACGACAGGTTGACCGAAACTTTTTACACCATATTTCCGTGAAAAACGACGCTCATTTTTGGCTTCAGCGATCCTACAAAACCGTAGGAAATGTTATTTTAGATAAGATACTGCGGTAAGATCCTATTTTTTAATAGTGTAATATTTTGGACGCTATTAGTGCATTTGAAAGACATAAATAAGAATTCAGTTCATCTTTGCAAAGTCGATAACAGCGAATGTTCGTTGTTGTAGACTTAACTTAAAAAATAGAATAAACGTAGTCATTGCAAGCTTTTTGTAATAGATATCGTTTGTTACAAAGTCATTTGGTCGCTAAGAAACAAATCATGCGATGATCTGTTCTTTTCTCACCTTGGTATTTCAATTTAATCAAAATCAAATTCTTGATAACTCAAGGTCTTGATAAAGCGATATTTTCTTCGTGCGTAATATTTCTTCCTCTCATTTCCTGCCGTTTCTTTTTACGTACTAATCCTATAAATAAATATGTTACAGATGAAGTACGAGTTTCATTCACATCTGGTTATTTAGCACTTACATGTCAAGTACGCAAGATAAGGGCTCGTATTTAGAATTCTATGATTTAAAGAAAATAATCAAAGGAAATTGAATTGCACTTTTATACAACGTCATTAATTTTTCCGTAGCTTTAATTTGTTTCAGGAACCATTGTAAGATCAATGGATTAAGACTAATATCTCACGTACTATCCATTTCCTTATCACATTTAGATCCTTAAATGTGATAGATATAGATAAGTAGAAACTCGAACCATTAATAAGGATTTAGCGAATATCGTGCGAGATTATCAACAACGATGCACGAAGATAAATTGGAATATCGTTACCCGTTTTTGGTTTTCAAACTATTCCGAATAACTTTATTCGCAAAAATTAAATTTTTTACTCTCCTATGTAACGAACCTGGCTTCGACTGTCTTTCGTCGTAACTATTTTTTTTTTTTTTTACGAGATTAATTTAAGGCTACTTAACAACTGATGAAAGTCGTTCAAACATATCAGATGCGAGATACTCGCCATTACGGGTGAAACGAGCGGGCTCGAAAAAGCGAGGGTAGTCTCGCAGTTGAGTCCCGAGCAAGCTGACTCTCATTGGTCTATCGCAGGGTTTACGATTCGCGATTAACCATCTGGTTCACGGTAGCAACCCCTGAAGGTATACACGTCATTGGTCCTCCTATCGTAACTTCTCCCCAACGTGCGCCCTAATAAAAGTTTTATAGTGGCTTCCGACCAATATCTTTCCTCGACAAAACGCGATCTTCCAAGTACTATACCTGGATTCGTTACAGCGATCGTGTATAAAATATGTCTACGTACGTATTTTTTAAATGAATTATGATTATATTACAATAAAAAAAATGGTGATTTGCGAGAACCTAACGGGTTACCCATACTTTTTATTTTCTACTAGTATAAACTAAATGTTTCTCACTCTCGTGGCGGATTAACGCGACATATTCGCGAGGACAATCGTGCGAATTGAATTATAACCGACATACAGATATGTCTATCGTGATTTAGAGCCGCATATGTGCAAATTTACTTTACTCGTGCAAAGCAGTGGATAATACGTAGCGTATCGTACGAAAGATACGAGATCGTAAAAGAATATTCGTTAAGAAAGCGATAAACGAGACGAATAAGATAAATTTGTACATACAACGGGTCCATAGAGTCCTCTTGTAAACGCGAATCAAACGTTCTTCATTCTTGTGGAGTAAAACCTTATATCGAGATCGAAGTCGAATTATTACGCGCTCGTGCATGCATGACGTGATACCGCATCCTGATTGTCGATTTATAATTTTACTATCGCAATGGTAGACTGGTGTTTACAGGCGTTCTCGAGAGACCGGAATTTATTGATGATCCGTCGAGGGGCTCGCGGTACGTTTTACGATACCACTTGCAGGATTTTTATCTAGCCACCCGGCAGCTTTTATCATTTGAAAAACGCACCGTTTGCTGTTTTTCCTTTATCGTCCAATAAACTCGGTTCAATTGCAAATTCCTGGCTACGCGAAATGTTCTTCCGTTATCCGTCGCACTCCAAGCGGAGGAAACGATGTTCGTTCTGGCCACCCATTTGTCGGATAGTCTGTTTAGCGAGGGAAAAAGTATGGATAGACTTTAGTCGTGCTCGTTCCGACGCTTATCGTATGTAGAGACCCTTTGCTTGTTTGGAGAACGTTGTCAGAAAATGACTAAACGGATCGATAGCTATTCTCCCTGTAGAGAACGATTCAATGCGAAATCCATTACAAAGGATAATCGAAGAGATCATAGATCGGTACGAGAAGCACCGAATTATCCAACTTGCTCTGAATTATATACATGGCGGCCTATGTGCATAAGAATAATCGTAACTTTTTTATCATAACGAAAGGAAAAGATGGTCAACTTCGTTTCACTTTTTTCGTTTCACTTTCTAAGAAGAAAAATACTATGTCAAGCGTCACCAGCAGAAAACTCGTAGGTCGTAGACGTACCGAGTAATCTTTACGCATAAACAAATTCCCTTTTCGTCCGAAAACTTTAAAAATTAATTCAACAACGTAGGTCCAGCCCACTGTACCTATCTGCGTGACAATATCTCCTTTACCGACGAATTTTCACACTTGCGATCTTACCTTTCATTTCCATATGGTATTAGACACGGCGTTTCAATATCGTTTCTTCGATTACTCGTCCCATTGAATTGCAAATAAATTAATAAATACAGGCGATCGGGCTTTCAATGGTTGACGCCGAGTAGAAAGCATCTTGCGTCGCGTCGGTCGGCCACGTTATCTCGAGCACACCCTTCGCGATAGTTTCACCCTCTTTTCGTACCGCCCCTTCTATTCCCAGCGTGAGCGTTTCACGAGGATTATATCAAAAGCTAAAGAGTGTTACCATGGATACACGAGCAGCCATGTTGGTCCAGGGGCGTGAGAGACGGAAAAGCCCTATGAAAAATTCGATAATTCCGGGCTGCCTGGAAATGGCGATGTATCTACTCGCGAGACTCGTTGTCCGAGGAATTTTCAGATAAATGTAATTAAAAGTAGGAAGCAAAGTATCTTGTCACGTTGCGTTTCCTATTCCGGTCGAAGCGATATAAAAATGTTTGACTCGCTCTAAAAGGCGTAAAAACGGAAGCCTACTCGCGACCGATATTCAACTTATGTTTTAAGAACGTTTTAAACGTTGACCTTGTGTCGTAGAACGTACGCAATCGTTTCTCACTTGGTCGCTCGAACAAACTTTTGTACGTGTTGATTTACTTATTTTCCTGACCGGTGAAAAGACATCGCCCCGCTTAAGTAGAAAAAGATCGTCGCGAATAAGATTTCACCAATCACACGCGATAAATGGCAAAAAAAAAAAAAAAAAAAGAAGAAAGAATTGCGAGTACATTTGGTGTTTTGAGCGTAGCAAACGTTACGCAACACGCGTCCAACTGAACCGCAGAATCGAAGCAAACTGGTACCGAGGAGAATCGAAGACGAAAACGAACCCCCGAGAAAAAGATAAAAAAGATAATAAAACGGAGCTGAGACGAAGCCGTAGCTAAAATTGTAAAATATAATACGGAGATGCACTCTTTGAGGTACAGGTAGAATATCGCGACGTGGAATTCCTTCCACCAAAGGATTTAGATGAATGGACGGTCGGAGTTATGTTTTTATTGCACCTGTATGACGGCTACTCCGAAAACTTCCGATTGAAAGGAGAGGTGCAGCTGGAACTGAACGCAGCCGAGGCGTGTAAGAATATCCGAAAAACGTCGAA